TCAAATAAATCGACTTGTTATAATTGAAATATAATAAACTGAAAATAACAAAGGATATCTAGATTACCCAATGATCGAAATGATCGTTTCTTAATGTGTAAAATCCGCAACAAACGCAGTAATAGTAAACGTTTCGAAAAATCCGCAACAGCGCAAAAATACTATAATTAGAAATAGCTAAAAAGAGCGTTACGCTTTTTCCGCAACGCTCGAATATCTCATATTCCATCGTCAAATCTTCATGTATTATGTCTTGAAAACATCAAAAAGTTCGAATAATGTTGTGAAATAACTTTCTCTCAGTTAGTGTTGAAGAGATGTATAGATATTGCAAAGAAAACAATCTAGTTCATTTGTGGGCATATCTGTGGATTAATTGGTATAATAAATCAGATTGGAATCTCTTCGCCAGGGCTTCTTATCCAAAATCAATACCATTAGCAAGAACAACAATGCTTGTAAAATCACACTGGCGTGTTCTAAAATATAATTACAAATAACTGTATTCGTCGCCTAGATCGCCTAACACCGATCCTAACAAGAGAATTGATTCCCGATCAAATAATCAACTGTAAAAGATTGAGCAATCATCGAGCTTTCCCTTCCTGGTGGGGAGCGTTTAAAATGAATGGAAAATAGCATTAGACAAGGATATTGGCTCAGAAGACAACTATTTAACGGATGTCACGTAATTGGATTTGCTCATGCCTTGCGTTTATCAGCAACACTTTCTTAGTGTGTAAACATATCGTAAAAACATGCAGAGACAGGAATTTATCATTCTTCTCTCAATATGCAACAACATGGCGAAGACATGATTATCCAAGCATAGACCGTAATATTGAAACAAGTTTTCATGATCGTAATCAATTAATCGAATCTAGAAAAGTTGAACTTACTGAGCACAAAAAGAAATTTGAAAATCGTTTCAGATAACATTCAGTTTTATCATACATATAAGCGACTAAGACAAGTCTTAATATTAATGAACGAAACACAGGCATGTGAAGAGGCTTTAAGAGCTAGAACACAAAAGAGAACGTGGAACTCACCACGTAATTCAAGACTTAAATTAGATTAATATACTGTTACGTTTATAATAATAATAACATACGCGAAACGATATCAATGTACACAGTGAAATTCACTTTAACGAAGTCTCACTTTAACTTTATAACGAAGTTCTTTCCAGAACGGATTCATATATTTCATATAAAAAGACAGTTCACTTAAGCGAACTTTCAGGTTAACGAAGCAAAAATCGTGGAACGAATGTCTTCGTTAAAGTGAATTTCACTGCGTCAGCCTGGATCTGAGGGAGCTTTCCACTTGTTTACCGTAGTTATCACGCAACGTCGCCTGGATCTGTAAGGATTTAGAGTGGTAATTAGCAAGGATTTAGATTCAGAGTGGTAATTAGCGGTAGTTTGCAAGGATTCGGATTCAGAGTGGTAATTAGCGGCAGGTTTGCAGGGCTTACACGGGAACGTTCAGTAATGCAGTATTATGTTAACAATCGTGCCGCTATATACGAGAGATCTAATATATAATGACCTTGGCATTTAGGTTTTGCAATATCGTAAGTTAATACGTGCACCGATTCTTAGATGATAAACTATTCTACAAATCAAAAGGTTTAATGAACAACGTTTTTATTATAATCATGTTAAGGAATTAAGGACATTTTGGAACCGTGGGCGATGCCAATTGTCAATTCTACACCTAGCGTTTTTATAATAAAAGCGTCAGGGGTTTTGGCAAATGCAGAAATATTAACTGTCTGAGCTAAGTCCGATCATTCAATTTCCGTTGTAACTAATACATTATAATAGACTTCTCTGGAAGAAAACTTATTAAAGGCGATCTTATTCCCAAACTCTGTTCCTCTTTGAGTATATTAGTATGAAGAAAGTTGCAAACTTTGCTTATTTAGAAATTGTTTATTCAGCTTACTTTAAACAGAAGTTGAGCCGATGTATCTCAAATCTGTTAGCCTACTTATTAATTTTGTCATTATGATTTATAGAGCAAGATCCTCACCTAAAGCTGACTGCTGCAATGCACTCTTACTCTGCTTACAGTCTTTTCTCGATTATGATAACAGGTTTGACGGTATGAAGTTCTTGTGAGGACGTCCAAAGGCAGCGTACAAGCTTGACTACTCAACAGCTAGTTATCATTTATAATTTTTATAATAGGTGGTATTTGGTGAGAGTCGTTCTGCAGATTTTGAAATTCGCTGGATGTCTTCTCCCAAAAATCCAAGAAACTCCTATTCGTGAGAAGCATATCATTATTGTATTTGCATAGTTGAGTAAGCGCAAAACACATATGATTTATACATGATTAATATACAGTGAATGATGGAATTTCAACGGATCTTGAAAGCCGTAAACGCTTGCACAACGATCTTTATCTGGCTACCTATATATCAATTATATTATAGTATTATTCAGCGTGTACTCTATAACTGCTCATCTTCACTTTGGTAGGGAGTTGGGTCGTAAATTCCTATTTCCTTTGGCGCAAGCGGTCCCATAATTTCGTCAGGCCACAAGTACATCTGTTCATCGTTCTCTTTTCCATTAGTGAAATACATCGAATAATCAATTTTCCTCTCCATCTCGTCTTCGTCATAGTTCATTTGACGCTTACTCCTGGGAATAAAAAATTTTTCAATCTCTTCAATGTCTGTACCAGGAAATTTATTCCAATCGATTGTAGCAAACGGATCGTTGTCGTCAGTTGAAGGAGAGAAAGGTGTATCCCATTCAGATCCATCACCGGGGAATGTTCCGACATGATCGTCATTATAATAATGATCGATTCTGTGCAGGTGAGGTTTGTCTGCTGAGAACGCATATACTTCTTCGTGGAGCCATTGCTCCCAATTGGAGAGAAATGATTCTTCGAGCATTATATCGTCAGTTATATATGCTGCGTTGGTATTGGTCAAAGGTTTTGTATGATTTGGTGGGAAGATTCTTGGACTTTTATCTTTGCTGGTGTTATTGTTATTATATAATTGCTCGCCCAGCTGCCACGAGTAGTTTGCGGAATTGTAGAACTTGATTAATTCTCGGAGTGCCTGCTCCTGCGGCTATAATCGAATTATAGAATATTAATGACAATACGACTCGCTATTGTCCGCACAATTCTTATTCTTCTTACCACCGCATCTTCTACTTCTGCGTCCGCATCCGTTGGTGCAATCCACTCATCTCGCAAGTCAGGTCGACATACCATATATATCGAAGTAATCACTTTCATATTATCTATAGAGCAAATATCAAAGCGTTAATGTTGCGTAAACAGTTGGTTAACTTCACGATCTACGAGTTGGATTACTTTGTCTCCATTTCCTTCCAACGAAAGGTATCTGACTCTTTAACACTTTCAATGCATAAAGCTCAAGACAATGATGTGTTACTTTCAGAATTTTCTTTAATATAGCCTTGAAACAAAAAGAATCGATAGACATGTTATCCTAGCTCATGATGTTTTTGTAAAAAGTTCTTTCAAGTATTAATCTCATTAAAGAATTGGAAATTCACTTACTGATGATTTATACTGAACTAGTAATACAATCCGATGAGTTTTTCTCTTCGTTAGTTTCTGTAATATTCGCAGGAAGTTGATTGCTGCAAACATATTACGCCAACAGTATTCATAATCTACATTATTTTCACTCTCTTGCGAAGCAGACGAAGTTTCATCCTGAATTTGGTCTGCAGACTCCCCTGATTGTTCTTCGGTAGTGTCTTGAGACTCCTGTTGACTATCCTGATCCGATTTAACACTATCTGAATCTGCCGAGTTGACTTGGACTCTATTCAACTCTTTGGATAAGTTGCCATCAAACGAGAGTATTTCTCTGTCCGTATCGTGACCTGCTGTACAATATCGGAAAAAACTTCATTATGAAAACAATTAACAACTTCTACTACTCGAATTCAAAAAGAATTTAACGCAAAGAATTATAAAATACCCACTTCAACTCTTCCACTTCATTCTTGGCCTTTACAGTCGCCGATACATCTTGTAAACCAAAAATTTTCAATATCAACAGAAGACAATTGGAATCTACCAGCAGCTGTCCGAGATACTCAAATTTCAAAATGTCTTTGAGTGAGTTAGGGATATCAACATGTAATTAGCAGTGTAAATATGTTCACAGGAGATGTTGTTTGAACATTTTAAATGGATACGAGATGGTTTAAAATGCTTGAGCATTAACAACAAAATAGCAGATACTGCCTTAGATGTGATCTCCCTATGTCTCATGATATCAACATCTTCTACAGTACCAATAGAAATGCTTGAAATTTCTTCTGACATTGACCCTATACGAATTAACAGCAGCAGGTTAAAAAGTTGAAGAGTGAGGGACATGCAAATTTACACAAGTGAGTGACTACCATTTGGAAGCATTGAACCGTTCTTGCCAATATTTTCGCCATTCGTGTTGTCATTTGATCTAGGATTAGTGTTGACGTTTGAGGGAGATACTGTTGCCAACAAAAGTTTCAACAAAACTATTATTATGTTTTGTAATTTGGGTAAAATAGATCTCTAATTACAGTGAATGGCGAGAAAATAACAATAAAGTTAAGGAACCTAATAACAAATTAGCGCATAATAACGGTCATTTTCAAAAGGATACGTAAAGTACTTCAATTCTTTCTAACAATCCTTTATCATAGTTATCCACAGTCTTCCCATCTTCGTTCCATTCTTTGATGCTGTATACACTTGCATGTCCATTCTGCTTATTCAAATAACCGCCATCACTATTACCACATTGATATTTCTTCATATTTTCTTTTTCCAACCAAAATTGCCATGGGCCCACACCAGTATACATATACTTCATATACAGATCTCCAGCTTCTTCTATGGCTTTAGGCACGGTTGGGGCATACTTGGAGAATGGGAATATAAATGGTTGTCGTTGGTTTGTTTGAAACTGTTGTTTGCGTGATCTAGGTGATTGATTTTGTGTCGAACCTGCATTTGTGCCTAAAATTGTGCTGGAATTAACATTGGGATTTGATTGGTGATTTAAATGCGATTGATGACTGCTGACGCCGGGTATCGAAACGGTTGGACATGGGCGAGGGATGTAAGTCGGGTATTTTTGAGTGACCTCTGTTTGAAAGTTGTAATAATCCATTGGTGCCGCTTTCAAAAAAATACTAGATGAATCGACTGGCGGTAAGCCATTTAGTCTTCGTACACTGCTCTTTAAACGTTTCATGTCTTCTACACCGCCCAGACTGGCCAGTAGAACTTTCCATAATAACAGTAGTAGCTGAACGGCATACACATAATTAGATTTAAAGTATTAACAAAAATAATCTTTCAAATAAATTAATCGAAAAACACATGTAATTCATTATTACCTTCTTCACAGGATACCCTTTAGCATTCTTTTCGTGTAGTGATGCTATAGTATCGAATAGGAAAACAGCCAAGGGTGGATCAAGTTCCACTATTAAACAACATGAAAGGATGAAGTCAGCCAAAAGAAAAGACGGGCTCATCCAAAATTTGGGCTATGCTATTCAACCATTTCCCATCTTTCCACTCTAGTTATTCCGGCAGATACGGACAAAAATTTACCCAACTCTGTTCCAAAGCTTTCATCTCCCCGATGAACTTCAAGTAGCATGTACAACAACGTCAAATAAAAACCAATTTCTGTGTTCGTATCATCAATACACGCTTGTCTATCTGAAGCCGACATATCTAAATCAGAGTGACTAGTAGTCATAATGTGAATTAATACATTTATATGCTGAACGCCTTTGATTATCATTAATAGAACGATGCACCCAATGATGTAAGAAAAAAAAAAAAAATCTTTGGCACCTATAATAGTCGTGCGCATGACATGCAAGTTTCAATGCTTGATAATATGAAAGAAGAGCGCCACAATTGCGAAGAAATTTGTTGTTCTCGATTATCCATTGCAAAAGTTGAGATGGATTTGTAGTTTCGCCAAACGTTCCTGAGTAATAAAAATATGTGAGGGCGCGTCTTATCAATAACGAATATACTAACAAATCATGATAAAGTTGTCATACAATACCTTGAGCAATGTAAAGCAGTTTCCTCGTAGTCGCAAATCGTTTAACTGGATCCTGGAGTTCCAGTAACTCTAGCAGATATTCGATATAAGTTCTTCGCTCGGATATTGTACAAGTAGTCCAAGCTATTTCATAATCAAATCGAGTCAATAATATTTTCATAAAATAAACAATTTAATAAATAATAAATGAATAAAATAATTACGCTCATCGAATCCTTCCTCGAAAACCTTCTTATTTTCCAGGCATTGCGAAATTTCACTATAGCTGTAGAATTCATCGATTTCGTTGGAGATATTGTCAGTATCTTCATACTTAAAAGCAATCTCTTTTGGCTGCAAAGAATCCATAACAAGAAGTTAGAGACAACACAACTCTTAACATGTCTTAATAATTCAACCATTCAATTATATAAAATCAATCAATCATCAGCTAACGATTCAGACTTGAATTTCAGATACAGCCTAACAATCGACATACCTTCTGCCGACTTGGGAATTGCTTTACGATCTTCTTTAACTGTCCAAGAGTTAAAGAATCATTCGGAGCCTCGTTGACGTTATGCTCTTGTAATTCGTCAACGTCAGTCATGGCCCTATTAGTTTCAAGAAATAAATGCGGTTGCAATCTTGGAGTGCGACGAGAGAAATTTCGAGTTATCGATAATAAGGTTAGTTATTCGAGTTGACACTGCTCCCGTGATTAGCAAAATATTGTCATAACACGGTAAGCCCTTCCATTTTTGGATTTCCGTAAATTAAATATCAAGTAACTGTACACCAAACATCATTAATTAACAGTATATTTTAGAATGTATTTGAGTATATTCGTAATATGAAAGCGAAGCAAGCAAGTATGAAGAAAATCGGCAGCAATATTGAGCTTTCTGGCTTTTCTTTTAATAAAAAAGGAGAGAGGACAGTACGTTCTCTCCACGTCTTCATAATAATTGTACACGTCCTCATAATCTACTAGTTTCTAACCAAATCTTTAGAACATTTATTTGCTTATAGAGATACATTTTCACATAATAATAAGCCTTTGTAACTTTAAGAATATACCAGTTTCGACTCGAAACGAAAAATGAACTGTTTGAACTTATCCTATTTCCACATATCCCACTACTCGATAAGAATGGACACTGCTCAGTAAAACATTCCAATGCTGTGATTGATTATTGATGCCTTTCGCTTTTAGTCAATTTATTAATCGAATGGAAAAACGAAGCCTGTTTTCAACCCTAAAATGTTAGTGTGGTTATGAGGCAAAATGCAAGGATTTGGGGTTATACGTACGTAGATTTGAAAAACTCTTAACTACTACTACTACTACTGTTACATTAGGTAGAGAGCATTCCCAAATATACGTCCCACACAATTCAAATTCGACCCCAAATCACCAACTATAATCCCTCATTTAAATTCTTTCCGTAGATCATTTTTGAGGGATAAAATGTCTATAACAATAAGGAACACTCAACGTGTCCTACAACTCTGTATGGCATCAGTTCAAAGCGACTTGCATCAACTTCTGAAGTACTCGAATCATTCTTCCTGGGATCTTGGACTACATTTTACGAGTGATCGAACAATCCGCCGATTGAACAAAGAATACCGGCAGACAGATAAACCTACTGACATACTGTCGTTTCCTTTTCATACAGTATTACCAATATTTCGTTAATGTGATTTTACTTGCCATCCGTCCATGTCCATTTCTTATATCTTTAATGCCTATCTAACAAACAATGAACCATTCCCTCCATTCTGTTCGTCCTTAGCCAATTAAACCGGGAATATTACCTGAACCCATAGATGCGGAACATAGAATCATTGGCGATCTTGTAATATCTACTACATATGTGGTAAGGTGGTGCAGGAAACATGGAGAGACTGTGGAAAGAAGATTGCCGGTGTTATACGTACATGGGATCTGTCATTTGTTAGGATATAATCATGAGACTGACGAACAATGGGCTGAGGTTAGTTGCGCAAACCAGTGAATTGTATGTTCTACGAGTTTATGATCCATCAAATGTTGTCATTTAGATGAATGCTCGAGAAAAAGAAATCTTAAAAAAGTTTTGGGACTTTAAGGTAAAGGGCAATAACTATAAGCCGATTAATGGTTTGCACCGTTGATCAACTTTCTTTACACACTATATTATACTTATTATACTTTTGCAAATATACTATTTTTGTGATTATATTACAGCGTACAAATAACAGAGAAGACATTCAAGAATCAACCACTACTCCCCAATGCTGATCTAACAGATTTGGGTTCTGTCGACATTGTTCTGACATTGATTGTTGTACTCTCCAAAGTCTCAGACTAGTATCATCTGATACAGAAGCCAACTGTTGGGGATAAAGCAAGACAGTGAGCATTAGTATAATCGTAATAAAATCAGTAACATAAAAATTACGCGTTTACTAAAAGTCAAAAAGAGCTTCCATTCTGTCTACAACCGCCACCTCTTAATCCTTACCAAACCCAAATCCGTTTTACACCAATTGACACTCGAAACTTCGTTTTCATGTCCTTTCAATATTACTGGCTTCTCTCCCGGCGCATCCATCTCCCATATATACATCCTTTTATCACTCGATCCACTGACAAGAAACCGACCATCAGGAGATATGCTCATCCTCACATAGAACGATGAACAACGGTAGGCGGGATGAGTGAAACGAGAAAGCGGAGGACCGAGACGGATTGCGTCATACATGTATATGTGGTTGTCCGTACTATTTGCAAAGAGACGCGTTCCTGTGTGATCTAACAAAAGGGTGGAAACACCTGAAGTACAAGAAAAAAAAATTAGAAAAAGTCTAGCGGATTAAGGCAGTACGAAAATGATTAATGATCTGAAGTTACCATGTGGTCTCTTCGATGTCGATCCATCTACAGACGTTGTTAATGGCTCTGGAGTTCCTCTATGAGGAGAAAGTTTCCTAATGTCCCAGTATTTAATTATACTTTTGGGTAGAATGAAATGCACAACTAAGTCAATTCCAAAGCGAATACACGGTTTTGCTCGTTCTATGTAATATCAACTCACCCATCCAGAGCACCAGATGATGCTAGTAAATAATCAAAATGCCTCAACCACTGAACTCCCGTCACACTGCTTGTGGGATTACTCTAATAATTAATTGGTTCAGATAAGAGATATTTGCATATTGTTATTATTTTACGTTTTACACGTTCATTTTACCGCGATCGCGATCACCTACTCTTATTGGCCCTGCAGATGACCGAGCTTTGGTTTTAGTAACAGACTTTGAGTTATTTTGCTGCCCGTGTGCAGATATAATACCGACTGTTGGTCTTACATGTCTTGCTAAGGGGAGTGCGGAAGGAACGCTTTAGTCGTGGCATAAAACGGAGGAAATCGTTCAAGTTATATACGAAAAGTAATTATCACCTCCAGCCTTTTCCGCGCTTCCTGATGTTCTGACATCCCATATAAATATATTACCATCTCTCGAGGCTGTTGCCCACACGTCTGAACAAGTTATCATGAAATGGGAATGATCAATAATTCGTTAAATATACACAGTAAACACATTGATATCTTACTTACTTGTGTCTTTGTGATTATACGCTACCACTTTAATACTACAGCTATGTCCACGAAGTACGGCTTTGCACTTCTGTTTCTCTACGTCCCACAAGCGTGCTGTCTGATCTCCCGACGCACTGATCTGTAGGGTAAGCATTGGATTGTGGAATATTTTATACAATGACAAACATCATCCATAATCAACAATTCTGTATTATACCTACAATAGTACTATCATCGCGACTCCACTGTAAATCAAAGATCGCATTATCATGAGCCACAAATTGCTTACGCGCACTCTCTAAAGAGTAGCATTAAATGGCAACAAAAATATTAACACTCGAATTACTCATATTACACGCAACTAATAAAAGATCAAATTACCGAGCTCAATCTTGTTGTCCTTCCTAGAATCAATAAATCCGATTCCTCCTTCTTCATCTCCGACAGCTATATATTTTCCTCCACGTGCGGCTGAACAATTAGAGGGATGAGTACAACGAAATTGTCGTGGAATAATGTCAAACCAACAAAAGAGAGAAACTCTGCAGATTGATAAATATAAAATACGCACAGTGACTAAATGCACAAACAAATGGGGTAATGTATCCACACTGGCCCATAAATTTATATACGTCAGTATCGTAGCTCATCAAATCTTTGATATAAAACTTTGTCGATGCTGCATATATACGCATTTAGGAAATAACAAAAAGTCAAGTAATTAGGTGATAAAACCTCGAATACGATTTTAATTCAAGTAATCATCTAGCATACCACACCATCTTTTAGATCCATTCCATTTCCCACTCGGATTCCCCCATAATTCTCGCCTGCTCAATGCCTGCAAGTTCGTGCACTCAAAGTACTGCCTCACTGCTGGTTGCCCCTTCGTCGCTCCGAGCAATTTTCCTTTCTCTTTTTCTACATTTGACTTTCGTATATTCTCTTTATTGGCTAAGACACTACTCCATAGATCCTCATATTTTGTACGTTTTTTGAGCATTGTGAAATAAAAATATGATTTGAGCTAAGCGTGGTTTCTGTGGAAAAGGTGTGGTTTCCGTGGAAATAGTTTCTGTGGAAAAGTATGGTTTCCGTGAAATAGTTTCTGTGGAAAAAGTATAGTTTCCGTGGAAATAGTTTCTGAGGAAACAAGTGTGGTTTCCGTGGAAAAAGTATCTACGTAAATGTGCATGTACGTGTTGTTTATTTAAGGATTGAAAGTTCGCGAGAAAAGTCGCGTCAAAAGATCACAGTGTTACAACAAATTGACATATTTATGGACAACACAATTGCTCCTACAGAGATTTTGAATTACATACTAATACTAATACTGACAAGTATGGTTAAAGGTATTGAGAACCATACCAATACAACAATGAATCGACTTTTCCTATATAAACATTGAGGATATTAAAAATAAGCTCGGTATACCTAAGACCCATTTGCAGGTTACGGTGCTCTTGGTATTGAGAAGAACAAATAATTCATTTACATAGCTAATACTTCAACAGCATCCATCTTTTATTTACCAGCGTGAAGCCCATAAAGATGATGTATTCCTTCCAATATTTCTTACACAGCCGAAGTGAAAATAGGGATTTAGAACAGCTGACACACGGACAGCTGGATATGACTGCCGAAATTCTGTCAGAATTTGATCAAACGTGGTCTTTGCTTACACGCTCGCGCGCAGCTGATTCTTGAAAGGCTCTTTATTATACCTCCTATTGCTAAGTATAAACTTACATCCCTGATTATTCAATAAATAAAATATTGCACGATAATTGAACTATTCTTTCCTGACTCCAGCCTCCGCGTAATCTACAGCTAGAGGTTATTCTAATTTCCATAGGCGGCTTAATTTAGCCTCCTAAGCAAAAGATTCCGTTCAGCAAAAACGACGCACATACCAATTATAAAACGGCAGTTAACTTTGACGCGTCTTTTTGTTTGATTTCACTACTGTTGTTTAGTGATGAATTATTAACATTAGATTAATATATTATTAATAACATAAAACACTGCACATTACAATACTGACACACCTTCAATGGTTTGATGAGAATTCAGAACATTCACCCCCCCACCCACATACAGTCATTATCAATTATAACGGCATATGTAAGCCACAAAGAGGAAGATTTAGTACTATTCTTGGCAGCATTATTTGTATGTACCACTTATAGTTATAGTTCTTAAACCTTGTTTAATGAATGATCACAAAAAGTTAGCATTAAATTTGATCAAAGTTTAATGAGAAATATGGTCCGGTGCAAAAAGATAGATACCTCGAAATTGATCGCTATCAAATCGCCTAGTTAAAGCTGTGTGCGACT